GGTCAAGTTTCACGGTATTTTAAAACTTTCATATCAATCCTCAGAAGGAGTTCAAGTAACGATTCGATAGAGTAAACCTCATAGAATACAACATTTTTTTCTCCTTCTCGTAGCTTGCCGTAATTTTTAAAAAAATTTTTTTTAGCAAAGCCATCGGATTTTGGCAGTCCCACCTCAGCTACAATCGCATCAAACATCAGTAGTTACTCGGAATTTCAAGCTCTCAAGATGATATATGACTTAATATTGAATTTATAAAGCAAATGAGAGTTTACGGATTCGAAATATCAAATTTCGAGTTTTCCGGGTACAGCCTAAGGCTCCTTAAAAAATGAATTGTGATGATTTTATCCCCGAAAACTAAACGAGTCGGAAACAAAAAACACCCGTTAGAAAGAGGAGAAAATGCTGTATCGAATTGTGCGCGAGCTGCTCTTCCTTTGATGTTCTACGAGGATTTAGCTGCCCAAATATGAAAATCGGTAGCATCAGTTAAAATTCTGTTAAAAATGTATGACAAGCTATGGAAAGGAGAAAAAGTAGTACTGTATTCTATAAGGTTTACTCTATCGAATCGTTACTTGAACTCCTTCTGAGGATTGATATGAAAGTTTAAAAAAAAACGTGAAACTTGACCATCTCAAAAAGCATGGGTCGTGGATTTTGGTTATTTTCTGAAAGCTCATTGACTGTTTTGCAACAATTTCATAACCTTTAGAAAGAGAATGAAATTCTGCATCGAATGCATCCAAGATCTCTCAAAAACCTTTGTACCATCAAATGTGGCAACCGTTTGAAAAAAGCGAAAATACTTTTGGGACGACCTAATAGAAGGGCCAAAAGTGATATCAAGCAGATTTCTGTACGACTAAACATTGACATCTAGCGATTTTCAGCAAAAATATTTTGCCGCCTGAGTCCATGCCTTTTCCTCCCTCGGGAGCAAGCTCCCTGTGCTTTTCCGATTCTAGGGGCAGGAGTAGGGTTTTCATAAGGTAAGGGCGGCCAAAAGTGAACTTACAGCAACTTTTGGTGACTTTACCGTCTTCGTCAATTCCGAAAGTGGTTATAGAATGCTCAGCATTCCCCCCCCCCCCAGTGCAACTCTCAACCTCGCAGCTTCAACTTTGAAATGAAGGAAGAATCAATAAAAGTAATGGGTGATTTCAAGAACGGTTATTATATTCGCAGTCAGTGTGTCAATTTATCCTTGTGCTAAATGTCAACCCTGTAGCTCGAATTTTACAAAGAATAGATAAAATCGATAGAAGGGGTCCTTTTAGAAATTTATTATAAACGTATTTATTATAAACGGTTTCAGCATGCTCGCTTACTCCCATATGCCTACTTCCAGTCCCGTAGCTTAAACTTTGCGAAAAGCGATAAAGTCAATTAAGGTAATTAATAACTTTTCAAAATAAATATGTTCGTGACCAACATGTTCACTCAACCGCCTGTACCAACTCTCAGCGATGTAGCTCAAACTTTGCGAACAATCGAGGAATATATAGAAGTAATGGTCATTTTCAAAAATGCTTATTATTTTCGTAATTAGAATGTTAGCTTACCCTCCTGTGCCAACTCCCAGCTTGAAGTTTATTTATTTATTTATTTATTGATACGTGCAAAAACATGTGAGTAGAAATAGTAAAAGGAGAGACTTGCGATGGTAAAAACCGTAGTATCAATGCATGAAAAATATCAGCAAAAGATATGCGTATAATAACAATTACAGTGCAAGACAATGAAATGGTTTCACAATTAGGAAATAGAACAATTTGTAGTAAAAAAAATTTAGCCAATGTTTTTTGAAGAACATCTTGTGCCAGTAGCCTAGATCGGAAATTTCCTCACAGTGAAAAATGGGACCTGAAAATTTTGTCTTGGGTGGTCTTAGTTCTAATGAGCCTTCCCTAGTTCTAGAGTTGCAAACGTTGAAAAATTTTGAAAAGTCAATTTTGCATTTTCCTGTTAGCATCTTGAGAGCCATGGAAAGATCAAATTTTTTTCTTCTGAAGGCTAAACTAGGAAGAGACAACAATTTATTGCGTTTATCTTTCCTGGGTATAAGAGAGTAGTTGGGACCTGAAAGTCTCAGAAATAACTTTCTGGTAAAGTTGTTTTGCACCCTCTCGATATTAGCAGTATCGAATTTTATATGGAAAAGTAAATATAGTACCAAACTCGACAGGACGAATGTACATCTTGTGGGCCTTGATCAACACTTTAGCGTGTGGTTCTGAGGGCCTTGAATAGATTGTAAGTTCGGAAGAGAGCTTTAGAGACAGTGCTGTTGTAGTGAGATGTAAATTGGCTTTTCGGAAAATGTAAAACCTAAATCTTTTACTTCTGTGATCTGAGTCAAGTCGTTTCCATTCAGGGTATAAGATGACTCAACTTTTTTGAGACCCAAAAACATTACATGAGTTTTTTTGGGAGGGGGGATAGAGGCAATTCAAATTCAACTGACCACTGATTAACCCTTTCGGATCTGGCTTTTTCTAGTACATGAGAAAATTGCTCAACTACTTATTATGATAGGTAATCATCTAAATAACAGCACGGCGAAGTTTGGAGCTTTTTCGACAACCACACGTTTTTATTTACAATTTTTTCTCCAAACCTTCCATTTTTCTGATTTTTTGCAACAAACGTGGAATCGCAAACTCATAGCGGCTGTTCTCGCACAATACCATACTATACCCTTACGATGTTAGCATAAATATATTTCCACTAACTAGGGAAATAACTGACATTTTGCTAACAGATGCTGCGACCGACAACCGTTATTGATTTTTTGCGACTCACTCACTCGTCAGTTGCACATAAATCTTATATATAAAGCTGAATGTCTGTTTGTCTGTCTGTATGTATGTCTGTATGTATGTATGTACGTATGTTCCGAATAGAAAATTCCATTTCTGAACCGATCCAGACCAAACTTGGCACACATACACTTCGGGCCCCGGCGGGTGTCATAGGCTACTTTTCGTCATCGATCGATATCGATTTTATCGATTTTTATCGATTTTTTTGCTGAGTTCACCTACGGGGCTGGGAGTTGGCACAGGGGGGTAATCGAGCATGGGGATTCCGAATACAATATTGGTTTTCAGGAATATCGATTACTTTTATCGATTTTATCGATTTTTTTGCAAAGTTTGAGCTACGGAGCTGGGAGTTGGCACAGGGGGGTAATCGAGCATGGGGATTCCGAATACAATATTGGTTTTCAGGATTATCGATTACTTTTATCGATTTCATCGATTATTTTGCGAAGTTTGAGCTACGGGGCTGGGAGTTCGCACAGGGGGGTAATCGAGCATGGTGATTCCGAATACAATAGTGGTTTTCGGGATTATCGATTACTTTTATCGATTTTATCGATTTTTTTGCAAAGTTTGAGCTAGGGGGCTGGGAGTTGGCACAGGGGGGTAATCGAGCATGCTGATCATCCGCAAGGGGGGTGATCAGCATGCTCGATTACACCCCTGTGCCAAATTCCAGCCCCCTAGCTCAAATTTTCAAAAAATCGATAAAATCGATAAAAGTAATGGACGATCTTGAAAACTAATATTGTATTCGTAATCTGCATGCTCGATTACCCCCTGTGCAAACTCCCAGCCCCGCAGGTCAAACTTTACAAAAAAATCGATAAAATCGACAAAAGTAATGGACGATCCTGAAAACTAATATTGTGTTCGTAATCAGCATGCTCGATTACCCCCCTGTGCAAAATCCCAGCCTCGCATGTCAAAATTTACAAAAAATCGATAAAATCAATAAAAGTAATAGATAATTCTGAAAACTAATATTGTATTCGGAATCCCCATGCTCACTTCCCCCCCCTGTGCCAACTCCTAGCCCTGTAGGTAAACTCTGCAAAAAAATCGATAAAAATCGGCAAAATCGACATCGATCGATAACGAAAAGTGGACTGTGACACCCGCCGGGGCCCGAAGTGTATGTGTGCCAAGTTTGGTCCGGATACGGCGGAGCCGGGTAAGCCAGCTAGTAATCTTATATTGCTAACATCATCATGGTCAAAATGGGGGTTGCAGGCCACTATTAGGAAGACAAGCCTTGTCTAAAGCGATCTGTAGCAATAAGCAGTGGAAAGCTACTGCTGCGCCAGTATTACTGCCCTTTGAAGTTGATGGTGGCAAATGCCACCACCGGGTCCGAAAGGGTTAACAGCTTCAAGACAGGACTTAAAGGCACCGTCCACCCAAAGCGAGGTTGATGAGATTTCGACTGCCAACATCTGGACTTACCATGCAAAAGCACGAGTGGATCCGATTTGTGGCAGAAACAGCGCGTTGCACAGATCCACTTGGCCTCTAGCTCGTCTGATCATGAAATGTGTCCCAAGGGTACTTTCATACAGCGCCGGTAGCAACCTTTAATTGGCACAGGCAGCCGTCAGACTCCGGGTGAGAGACAACTAAATATATGCCGCCGATGGGCTCCATCACCGGGGCAGCTGGTACAATTCTGTATAATTTTTTCTTATGCGTGGAACTACGCGCTTTAGATGTCCACATAGGACCACTCGTTTCGGACATTACCCTCCACCCTCAACCGCTTTAGCCGCCGTTAGCCGCTATTAACAGGAGAGCGCGAAGTCACCATATTTACACTATGCTCGCATCCGCCTACGCCTCTCATCTTCCACGGCTTCAAATTCTCGCTAACGTGCAGTGTGACTCGCATACATCATCTTTGCATCCACTATTTGTTTTATTGGTGGCCATGAAAGCTTGGATTTGCAATCTGCGGCCGATTTCTCGTTGTGTTATCTGGACTACTGCTTCAAAATTTGGTGACTTGAAGTCTTGTGGTGTGCTTTCACACTCCTTCATCTTAGGAGTATATTTTTGCAAGCATCTTTTTCTCATAAAATGCGTTATCTGGACCATATTTCACTCTTCATAAATCACCACTTTTCATTATAGTTTACAGCAAGGTGCTCTTTACCTCGCCACCTGATGTTTCATAGCATGAACTTCGTCTCCGTGTTTAACTCTGCTTTCGATGACAAGGATGAGAAATTGCCACCTCCACTATTCAAAATAAGTTTAACACATGTGCTTCATCCACAAATCATGCCGTTTAATGATGGCAGGTATTATTTTGGATAAAGGTAAGCGTTTGGTGGGAATCAGGGGGTTTTCTAAGCCTTCTTTTTTCTTTGAAAGCGTAAAATCGCTGGTCAGCGCTTGAATCCAAACTTCTGGGCCACTTAAAGGCAGCGTCGCACCAGATTGAGGGATACCTGGCTCTGGTAGTAATGTATTAGTAGATCCCCTAACTAAGCGACGACAGAAGTTTGCAGCGCGAAAGGGGGTCTATGAAGTCTACAAATCGCCTCCCAAGTGGCCCGAAACTCACGGTAGGCTCGGACGAGTACGAGATGCATGCAGGGTAGGGACGCGAATCGTTGCGGGACTCTCTCCTCTAACTGTATGTGCCATGCGTGCTCTGGCCTCTCAGTTCGAAATTGCTGTGTACGCGGCGTCCTGTCCTACCGTAAAATCCGTGCCACTTTCCGGGCGAATTTCAGGCTTGGTAGATTGCCTCCCTTTTTCGCTCCGAATTCAGTTATCGTTTTAGTAGGGGGTCTACTTTAACATCGCCACGAAAACCCGGCACCCATCTTTTTGCGGGATGCTGCCTTTAAACAAAGCTGTTTATCGCTCAAGGCCTGACTGCAGGGCGGGAATCTATTGCGAAACAACGAGTAAAACTCAAGCTGCAACAGTCGAAGACAGCAACTTACTTGGACTACATATGCAGAGAAATATTTGTGGGATATAGACGGAATGCAAAAAGTACAACTGTCGAAGTCGCTATTTTCTGTCACTCAAAAAATTTTGCTTTAAGAAGCTATAAACCAAATATTATTAGGACTGCTTCCGAAATAAAAATCAGATTTTGTAAAGCAAACTTGGCTTTCTTGACTAATACAGCTACTTTGCCGTAAATAGCTGCTTCACCAGAGAACGACGAGAAAAATAAAAACGCTACGAACTTATGAAATCACCTAATAATAAGAAATGATGACACTGAATACAAAAGTGACAAGGGATCAAAATGCGCCTCAGTTAGGATTAAGGAAAAGCAATGAAGATGAAATTTGTAGGCGGATGCATTACACCGCAATAAAAATTTGATGATTTCGCGTCCTCAAAACCGGTTAGCGATTGTTGCTGCAAGCTCTATTCTGCCGAGGTGCCCTATATGGCTCCCCCCAACAAAGGCAGGGACCGTTATCAGGCTGTTCATGCCGGGACCCGAGCGCACTTTTCTCACTGTCCTTAACATTTAACCCATTGACGACGACGCCTAATTTTGCATGGCGGCGTTGTGGGACGACGCGATTTCGCACAACAATTGCGGCGCAGGAAAGTTTTGTGATTATTTGCGAAATGTAAAAATGTTTTGTAAGCCACTACAACCATCTTCTTGAACGACGAAGTCTACAGGTTCCAAGAGTGCAAAAAACTGGAGAAAACGCTGAACTGTGGAGAAAATACTAGACCTGGAAAGGATATAATTTTGCAAGGGTTGTAGGTCACCGGTAATTTACATCCTCCCTTGCTGCAAAAAGTGCGTGGACCCACCGCTGGTCTACGTCGTCGTCAATGGGTTAAAGGCAGTGGATCAGTAGAATAGACCTCTGTCAGATTTTGGTAGTGTTAGGTAGTAGACCCCCGATTACACCGTAGCCCCAACCTCACCCTCCGATTCGTGCGCTAAGTCCTGAAAAAGCGCCAAAACTTCACCAATGACACCCACTCAATGGAAGTGGGGGGAGGGCTGATGGGGTTTCGAACTCCATTACTGGACTTACAAGGAAACGACACTTGCTGTCCGTAGCTTTTTGAGATGAGATGTATACCATACACTCGTCTTCAAACGTGATTCCGAATCTGACTTCCGTTTCTGCTAATCGTTGCTCTAAAAGAAGTTATGAAGAATTTTCGCGTCAATGGTCGCCCAAGAGAAATACGGTCGAGGACGCCTAACATTCAAAAAGAAGCTTGATCGAGGCAATGTAAAACTTAAAAACACACTAAGATTCGAACCTAAACCTGCATTAACTTGTGAAGCTATCGCACTAACCACAACACCACATCGTAGCGGCGGTTTAGGCATTCCGACCATATTTCTCTTGGCGCGAGAAACCTTCATAATTTTTTTTCAGAGAAATGGTTAGCAAAAACGAAAGTCGGATTCGGAATCAGCGCTCAGAGTGTAATGGTTTACATCTCATCTCAAAAGGCCATGAACATCAAGTATCGTTCCCTTGTTAGAGCATAAAAGGGTGGGATTGGGGCTACGGTATATTCGGGGGTGGGGGGGGGGGAGGGGGTCTACTACCTAACACTGCCAAAATCTGGTGGAGGTCCATTCTGTTGATCCACTGCCTTTAAGCGCAGCTGCACTGCTGACAGAGATCATTATCTGTGCTGCCTGAACATGTTTTGAGCAATCTAATGAGTGAGTGTTTCGTGGCTGAGACTACTCCAGTGAAAACTTCTACTTTACTCCTCGAGGTGCCATGCTCGAAAAACAATCAGAAATTCCAGACTGAAGAGTACGTCCGCTATCAAATATGTAAAGAACCGTTAGCTCATTTCAAAAATCTTCCAATGGCAACGGGCTTCGCGATTTCGTCGTCGCGATTTCATCGCCGAGGATTTCGATGGTCTGGGCGATGGAAACGCGACGACGAAGTCGTTCGCACAGGCATGGGCACAGTGCCCGCGATTTCATATCTTTGCACACAGAGGGCAGGTGCACGCAAACTGAGCAGACTGTTCTCATGCGATATGCGTTATTCCACTCACTTCACTCTCAGCATAGAGCCCTCATCCCGATCTTGATGAAATCGAGTACAAAGAACTCTCACATTTTGCCTAGCTTTCAGCAAATCTAATTTTCACGAGTTCACCAGGGGCGGTATGCATCAATCTCCCGTTTTGAAAGCGGGCAATCATTTTCAATAAAAAATGATTGCCCGGCCGAGTTGGCCGCCCGATCCGTAATATATGAAGCTGGCCAACCCGGCCGGGCAATCATTTTTCTATTGAAAATGATCGCCCGCTCTCAAAACGGGAGATTGATGCATACCACCCCAGTTCTTACGAGGGAAGGATACTTGGTGACCATGGCCTTTTGCAATGAGATGCACACCAGTAGGTGCGCCTTGGAACGCTGATCCTAGATCTATGTTCATGATCTGCTGCGCGACTCCCTGAACGAAGTTATGGACTTTTTTCCATATTGATTTTACGAGATTTAGGCAGTCAAAATCGTCATAACCAGGCTTTTTAGACTCTGATGTATCGGAGACAGTTTTCCTGAGCTAAACGTGGAGCATTACGTTATCTGTGCATTCTTTTGTAGTGCGTAAGCGAACATTCTAGCAATATTGGCGAATCCAGCATCAAAAACAGTGCAAATTTTGGTGACAAGAATGTTCATAACTTCTTTCGGAAGAGCGCGCAGCAGATAATGAGAACATATTTGGAATCAGCGTTTCAAGATGCAATTGATGGTGTACGTTTCATTTTAAAAGGCCACGGTCACCTAAGCCCGTAGTAATCCACCCGACATGATGGCATAAGACATGACGGCGACCTCGCGAACCTCATGACAAGCTCATGTTTTGGGCGTGAGGTTCGCGAGTTTCTATAGCCTTTCAATTTTACAGGCAATCACGTGCAATGAAAGGTCGACCGCAAAATCATTGCACCTGCTGAGATGGAACTCTGCTCTATCCAACGAGAGTCAGCATGTTACCCATTCGACTACACGTGTACTTCACAGACCATTCTAGGGAGCTCAATCAAGCCAACCAGTCACTTTTGCATTAACACGTTATCTTATCCAGGTTGAGCGAACGATTAACGCTACGAAGCAAAGACAAATTTGATTGGAAGTGTGATTGATATGATCCCATGCAGTTGCCTCAAGAATCACACACCAAGAATATTCTAGAAGCCTGTGCCACTTTTATTCACAGCTTGTGCTACCATTTCATGATGTATTGGACTATGCTTTCACGAGTACGTATTACAAGCTCATCCATTTGAGCTGAACATACGCCCTAATTTTCTAAACCGTATCCTGCTGCTCTTCCCACATCGTCTTCTCAAGTCTCCCCTTTTTTTCCACAAGTTGAAGATTTAGAATGAAAAAGAAAAAATGGCTAGTCTCCAAAAATTCATGGTACCCATTTGTCACTATCTGGTGTGAAAATCCTAATGTGCCGTAGTAAGAGGCAATGTGGAGGCATCTTTGCGGTCCATGGGTAGTTTGGGGCGAAATTGGTATTTGGACTTCTGTAAACTAACTGAAGGGCACTTAGGACTAATCTAATAGCAACCCTGCATTCATTTATGGTCAACGCTTTCATAACCCAAAATCGTATAGAGGATGGTTTCGGTATTTTGAAGAAAAAGTGGTAGGCAAAATGCAGAATTTCAAGGCTATGAATAAATCACATAGAAGATGGCTCAGTCACTGCTCCGATTTTCCAAATCCTATGTTCTCTGCTTTCTGCGCGGAATGCGCGCTGTTGAGTCTGTCGCAGAAAGTTACACTCGATAGGATTTTCCGCTTAATATAGTGTGCTTGCATAGAAAATGAAATGCGGTAAAAATCGTGAAGAAATAACCACGCGAGTACTGTCGGCATTGTGCGCCCGCAACTAGATGGCGTCATAGTCGAACTATTTCACGCGCAAATTTCACGCATTTCACCTTCTGTGCAAGCACACTATATTTAGCGGGAAACCTACTCGACTGTATGTTTGGAAGAGAGGACATAAATGAGCAGCGAAAACAATGACGCGTGATAGAGGCGAACTGTAGACGGCCTATACTTCTGGTCCAACCTAGAGTACCAAGAGTTGCGTTGTTTTTGAATTGTAACAATCGAAAATAACAGTTCCAGACAATATTACTTCTTCAGCCATCGTTCGGCTGTCTTACAGTGTTTTCGGCGTGAAATATATTGTATTTGGTGTAATTGCAGAACGCATGCTACATATTTCACGCCAAAAACGCTGTAGGACAGCCGAACGACCTACTTTTCTTCTACTACTTCCTCTTCTTCTACTACTTCCATTTATTCGAACAATTAGTTCGATAAACATCGATTGTGTAATTAGCTATTCCTATCTCCTGCTATCTTCTTATCTTTCACTCGAACAAACAGTTCCATAAATCGGTTTTTGTTTTTAGGTGTATTTAGGCGTATCAGTAAACCACCGATCTCATGTGACTGTGAACTGGCTGAAATAAGAACGTTTCAGGAATATTTCGTAGACCGGGGTCTCGTTCTGGACAAAAGCGAGAGGAGGATTCAGTCGCTTCTGGAGGTGGTCAAGGTAGCTATGTTATCTTGTGTTTTAATTTTTCAAGTTTGTTTACTCGACTACTTATTGCTTACATAAAGGAGCGCAAAGCGTCTTTTCAACAAGAAAAGAGTACTTTCTGAGTGGTCTGAATATGAATGTCTTTTTTCCGCAAATTTAAACCATTTTTGACTGTTTGTGGGGTGCTCCCAATGTGTTGCAATGGATGTATTGAACTTGGTGCTACCTACTGAACTTTTTTGATTTGCTATGATGTACCTCTTATAACTGGAGAGTTCCTCATCAGTTCTAACAAGATCGGCTCCCTGTATGTGTACATAGGAGTGGTGTTCTGGGAAGCTAGACTGCTGTCCGGTAGTCACATCATTGACCTCTGTCGTATTTTAGGCCCAAGTTTTGTGGACGAGCGCAGTTTATCTCCTGAGCCAGCTGCAACCATAATGCGGGATGACACGTCACCAGCCGGATATGATGCGATCGCCAGAGCACCACATCTTATAGCATCATAGCTGCACGGGATGTTACAGATTGACGCGTTCGCATCAAAGTATTCGCATCTTGCAAAACTAGGCGATATCGGTATGTTTCGACATATTTGATTCCTTTGAGAATTTTCTAAAGTGATTGTCCTCCCATTTGCATTTTACTCCTCTTTTCATTTGTAGAAGAGGACGAATGAGTTCTGTCACAGCGCTAAAGATCAATAGACTTTTGTACGAGGGCCATTTTTTGTTCAATTTACTGCAAAATTTGAAACTCAAAATATCCATAAGTCCACTTAAAAGATGTGCTTGGTGCTCAATCTGTCTCAAACTCCATTCTCAATAAATAAGAATGTTTTGTGCAAGAGTGTTTGGAGTTTACAATTTAAGAATCTTATTTGGTTTTGCTGGTTATTACCTTAAATTCTCAAGGTTTTTGATCGTTTAAGATTTTTGCTGTGTTGTTAGCAGTAGATTGCTCACACTATGAATATTTAGATATCTAACTCCTTTCTCGTTATCTTTAAACTGAGGAAGAAGCTTAAGATGAAGACGTGCCATGGACTGGAGAACAACCGTTGAACAAGCTGTCAAAGCTGGCTTTAAGACCACTCTTACTAGGTGAGGGACTTGTCAGTCTTCGTAATTCGTCAGCTTAACTTATTTTTGAAGTGGTCATGCTGCTGGCCATAGATGGAACGGCTCTCTCAAGAAAAACCATCAAAAGGCCTATGATGAAAATCAGTTGTGTTTTGTGTTTTGGTTTTGTTTTGTTAGGTTTTCGCAATATTGCAATTTTTCTTGGAGTTACCAACTTGCTTGTACTCTTGTGGAATGTGCATAGCTTTTCTTTTATACTTATTCTCAAAAATACTATGCAAATATCCTCTCAATTTTTGCTTATCTTATCAGGCCAAGCAGAACGGCTTCACGTTGGGTTCCCATGACTACGATGTGCAGCGAATCACTAGTGAAGAAGAAGTCGGCCTTTTGCGAGATCAGCTGGACAAGTATTGGCACGTCGTGGTCATTGAACCCAACGGCCAATGAACTCCGTACTATTAATTTCACCTAAAGTCAAAACAAGGTCACATACTAGCTGGTCACTTGTATGCATTGTTACTACCGTACATTGTAGCCCCATGTACTAAGCATTTCGGGTTCGACTAATTATTTGTGTATCAGCTTTCCAATCTTACTAGGCAAAGATCAAATAAAATAGTGATAGAGCTTGCGAAGACGGGCTGTTTTTCCCAAACGCGAGCAACTTGAAGCCCTGCCCAGTAAGGGCTACGTCGTGAGGCCATAATCGTCACCACTATTTATGCTTGGGTGACTCACATTGCCTTTGCCATTGGAGAACGGTCATAGGTTGTCGGCAACGGTTGCCGAGGTTGCCGGTCATTGTAAGATCCCATAATACCCTCCGTGTGTTCTGCGCTCTCTGACAACCTTGGCAACTTCCACAACCGTTGCCGGTAACCTATGGTCGTTCCCTTAGAGGAAAATCAGAATTATTTCAAATAAGACATCAGTCTTGCTATAGGACTTGCTTTGTTGTTCCACTAGTTACAACCTTTAACAGAGATATCGTACAGAACGCACCCAGTCTATCGTCTAGAAAAATGTTAACTGCCTATAAGCTACCATGACAAAAAGCGTCGATCTTCGATCGTCGATCGTCGATTCGTGGAAAATATAACACCCGACTGATCGTGACTTTTGTGCACTTTTTGTACGCTCGACTGCCGCAAACTTTGCTCAGATATAAAAACGAGTTCATAAAACTTACGGACTTTAGCGTACTATTTGCGTAAATGAACCCTTCATAACAACAAGACACGACTAAAAAGGCGCAATCTTTATGAGCCTTACGTATCACGTATCACTTTAAAAGCATCAGAATTTAGATACAACTGCATCGAGACCTGAGTCACTCAATACATTGCAGAGCGGCTGCGACTTAAGATTATTGCGTTATTCAGTCAGATAGCAATAGGACCTACAATGAGTGTGGCAGAAAAGAGAAAAGAAGAAATTAGAAATGAAACATTGGTAAAGATATAAACACAAATATCTGTTTGAATGCGATGCGTGAAGATGATTGTGTGAACGGAGATGCAAGAATGACAGAAGTCCTCGCTATTGAAGTGAGCAAATAAAAAAAAAGACAACAGTGAAAATGATTCGTTAATGTACAACAGATCTAACTGAAAGGCAGATATAACACCGGAATCTTCTGATTAGGATGTAAGCTGATAATTATATGAAAGAAAGCAACTTTGATAATCAGATGAAACAAGTAACATTGATAACTAGATGAAAGAAAATAACAAATCCAAAAATAGAAAATCCTACGAAGTCTTCCGCGTCCTTCTCCTGTTGCGAGCTGCTGTTCTCTGCAGCAAAAATATTATCTTACCGGCATCTTGAGACTTGCTCCATTGCTTTCGCCGGCATTTTCTTTGCTTGGATCCAGCATTTGCAGCTAAACATCAAAATATAGTCACGTCTGAAACAAAAAAATGTGCACTACCTTTTAAAGGTGGAAAAGGTTATCTGGTAAACAAATGCAATGGCGACAATTGAATGCGAATGAAAAATATGCAATATTGTGATGTTTTCGGTTACTGTCAGCTTGGACTCAAACTAGCAGTTCGATAAATTGTGATATAGCTATACTTATTTGTAGTCGCTGTCTCGCCTTGCTTGGCTTTCGCAGTACGACAGTGACTGGAAATAAGTATAGCTATATCACAATCGCATGATTTATCGAACTGCTTTGAGTAAATGCGAATTCAAAAGGTAGGACGAAAAACAACACGATTTAGAAGACGCTTCACAATTGACATAGATGCATACCTGCATTAAAAGCATTACAGTTCTCCTACAGAAAGAGGACATTGAATCAGAGTATGAGAAATCCATCAAGGTTTCATCAAAGTCATCAAGTGAATGACTAGAAGTCAAAAAAGTAATTAACAACAAAACAACTCATAGTTCTAATTAGATACATACAGATATTACGAGGCGAATAGGCAGGAGCAGCTGAAAATGAATGTGTTTGCAAATAACCCTAAGGCCCCGGTCAGACTTCACGCGATTTGATCGTCGCCGTGTTTTCCACTCATTTTCATTTTACATTCAAAATTCGGACTGGAAAAGTATCATAACCGAAATGCAAGCTTGTCGGCATGCAATGACCTCGTATTAGCTGTCTTGTCGCGACTGAATCGCGGCGATCAAATCGCGTTAACTCTGTCCGGGGTCTAAGGGTAACTAGAGCTAATGTCAGTGATCTCATATTGATTGATGAAGAATGAGTCTCTTGAGCATGATCTCTCTCACAATAAGGTCAATCGATTATGAGCTCTGAACTGGCTCAACCAAACTGAAATGGCATCTTCGGCGGCCTGCTGGCAGCTCTCAAGATCTGATTAGCAGGAACAGAGCTACTTTTGTACTCATCTCTATAGTCAGGGGCATATGCTAACGATCAATTGGTAGAGGAGAGCTTCGGTGTTGTATACCCATTTGTCCAATGGGAACAAATCCTTTTGATTATCAGCAACTAAAAGATAGAGATAGTTGAAACCTTAGCAGATAAAAACAGTTCCATCAGATCTCTGCATTTAGGATGATCACAGCAAAAACAACATTATCGTGTGGTAAACAGACCTGTATGTAACAGGGATTTTCTTGACACTCTTCACTGGTAACCATTTCGCACCCGCGCATAATTCTTAATTCGCTTCAAAGGCATTCCAACGTCATTCTTGATAAGTTTTGTCATCTAAATTTGGTTGTACTGATGAATTATACATAAAAGTCATTGGTGTATAACTCACAAGTCGTTCTGTAGAGGTAGAACCAGACTTCAATCGCTTCTGGTCGCAAAAGTGAATGTGCATCCAGAGGCTAAAGGACGATGTTGAAAAGCATATGCGCTTGAAAAATAGCAAAACAACAACTTTGATAGAGAGATCTTCTTTTTGACTAGTAACATGTTGAAGTACGCTATCTCAGGTCCCAAACCCGTTGAATTTGCGTACAGCCTGACAATCTCTCCCAAGACTCTGCAATAGAAATCAATATTTGAAGTCGATAACGCTCATACTAGTGGCTCTCTAACGAAAGTATCGAAAGCATACCAAGCATTCAAAAGCGAAGAAAAAACAATTAAAACACTAAAAAACAGGCAAATTCACATCATTTTGACTTTAAAAGCTTACCAGGTTCTCAGACAATCAAATGCTCTCAGCCGGCAGCCACAAAGCCACCGCCTAGACCCACCAAAAGCGCGGTGGCCTCATCGCCTCACTAATTAGTGTCAGCTTCATTCGTGCGACTAAGCAAGGCGAGACAGCGACTAGAAATAAGAACACTATATCACAATCGGATTTCTATCCAATTGTTTGTTGGAGTAGATGCGCAAAAGAAAAATAGGATGAAAAACTTTTCAGCCATCGTTCGGCATGACGCGCTAAAGTTGGCGTGAAATAAGTAACAATCATTGTGCAATTACACCGGCTGCAATATATTTCACGCCAATATTACTGTAAGACAGCCGAACGATGGCTGAAGAAGTAATATTGTCAGTTCCAGTGATAGGAAGCACAGATACAATATACAAGAAACATATGGAGATTGATTTATGTAAAGTCCTCATTTTGATTAATAATCTAACCAAGGAAAAAGTTTGTTCTGAGGATAAGACAAATGTGATTGTGATTTTGTCGGAGAGGGGTTCCCTACAGCAAAGGTTCACTGTTGTGAGCATGCGGATATGAAAAACGGAGAAGCAATTGTTCCTCAGAAAGTTGCATCCGTGAAGACGCTAGCATCTGAAAATGGTCCACTTCATTCCCTTTCAAATTAAGGCTGACCTCAAGGTATTCTCTACAAATACGTCTAGTACTTACTTTGCTTAATTCTGCATCCTTGTAGCAAAAGTCCAAGACCATTCTGATAACTCGGGCCTGGTGCTGGCAGAACCAGATGCACTGTACCTAAAACAGTACCATATAATGGTAAGGCATAATGTGTATGTAGTCGATTCTTTGACCAGGGACTGGAAATCACTGCAGAGCATGCGCCGAGAGGTAAAACGATTGCCGCAGTAATGCTAATGTAGAGGTCATTTATAAAATCGTGACGATTTGACTGCAGTCTTTGCGCCCACAGGAACAGAAAACACCCATACAAAACGCATCATCACCTCTCAGCTCCATCACTTTCAGCGTCTGAGGCGCTATACTTCTCGAGGAGTATAGCATAGCGACGATCAATATGCATCAAACACGTGTAAAATTGGCGAATTTCGTCGCCGATCGTAGCGATCGGCGATCGCCCGTCGCCATGCTATACTCCTCGAGGAGTATAGCGCCTGCCTGAACGCTATCATTATGTAAGCGGAAAAACCATTTGAGTATAGATGAAAACCAAGAGGTTAGCGGTTGCCATGTATGCGTGCGTATCGCGCGCAGTCGCGCCATCGTAAAGATTTATGAAGTGCCCTGTACAAAACGTGCTTAATATTTTAGTCCGTGCGGTCAACGAATCGACAACGTAGTCGAGTAGGTCTCTTTGCCAATGTGTGCAACTGCACATTTTCCAGGATGGGCATGGGCGCAAATTTCATAGGTTGTAAGTAATACCATTCTTTTTCAGTAAAGTCAAATACCAAAGAGAACAAGGAAAGAACACAAAAAGTATATAGCGAGCATGGCCGCAAACTTACAGACCTCCACAATCAAACGCAGCTCCTTTCGCGTCCGCAGACGCAAACGCCCAAAACCGAGTCGCTAGTATGGTCCTTTCACCCCGTTGTAGCGGGCACGCAGCCTCAGACGCCCTCACACGTTGCGGTTTTGACCGCAGCGCAGGGTCGATACGGCCGATCAGCTGTTTATCTGTCCGCTGCCACAGGAATCGGTGAGTTCTTGATTATTTCTTTATCTTTTTGCTTGAAGGTTGCGAAAAAAATGGAAGGTGAGTCGGAAAGTCTTTTAAGTTTATTCATATGTGCATTGTTAGCTGAAAAGAGCTGATTTAATCTAAGCGCGACGTCAGCCAGTTTTTTGAGTTCTTCGTGCATGTAATCAAGATTTTCAAGACAACGCACTTATGAATGAACTTGAAATACTTTCTCAACTCACCTTCCATCCCCTTTTTGCAACCCGCAAGCAAAAAGATGAAAAAATAATCAAAAACTCGCCGATTCCTGTGTCAGCGGACGGATGAACAGCTGATCGACCGTATCGAGGCTCCATGTCAGGAGTCACGCCGTGCGCCGCGCCGCTTCGCCGCGAACGTCGCGTCTAAATTTTGTACCCCACAAAACTGCCCAGTGCTAAAGTGGCACGGCGCCAGTCTAGGGTGGTGGGGGGTGGGGGCAGATACATGGCTCGTATCATAAGTAAGACTGCGCCAGGAGTGCTGGCTTCTGTTTTGCTGACATCGCTTGCGGCACCGCTTCGCGAAAAATTCGCGCCGACCGTGACTCCTGACCGTTCCCCCCGTATCGACACTGCGCTGAGGTCAGAACCGCAACGCGTAAGGGCGTCTGAGGCTGCGTGCCCGCTACAACGGGGTGAAAGGACGATACCACACAAACAATAAACATGACACTTGAAGGCGTGTGCGGGCAATAAGTCGGTTTTGAATTTTGTGCTTACCCTTCATATTCGACACATGCAGCACAGCGAATAAGCCCGGGTGAGCACAAAATCTCAAAGTCGACTTTTTGTCTGGACACTGCCTTTAAGACAGTTGACATTACGAGGAGTTAAACTGACTCACCCTCAACAAAGTTCAAGAAAGAAAAAGCAAGCAAAGGCAGCTTTTATAATAAGATAAAACACAAGTTTTCGGGAAAAGACGCTACCTTATTTTACATGTAAGGCCGGGCATCCTCTTCCAAGTTTGTCTCATCCATTTGCTCGAAATCTGAATAGAAAAAATTTTAGAACCTCTTCGCTCATCAATATCGTCAAGTCGTCGACCACACGAATTGGCCGTACGATGGAGGACGCGCGGCGCGGCAAAAATATCATGAGAGCGCGACTTGTAAAGCCTCTGGCAGAGTTCACGCGATTCATCGTCGCGATTCATCGCGACAAGACAACTGTAACTGACAACTGTATAGAAAAAACAACCGAAATAGAAAGAGATCGGCATGCAATGAACTTGTAACAATTGTCTTGTCGCGATGAATCGCGACGATGAATCGCGTGAACTCTACCCGAGGCCTAAGGTAGCAATTTACCGCTGCAAGCGTTTAGCCACGCGACGCGTGCTCCACGAATTATGGTTAGCCCGTATGCTCTATACTCAACGACTTGGCGCTATATGCATAGTCACGTTGTTATTATCGGAATAATGATCACGCATCAACTATATATGAGGCCCTGGCCAGACTTCGCTCAAAAGCGCCCAAAAGCGCTCAAAAGCGCCCAAAAGCGCTCAAAAGTGGGCGAAAGCGCCCAAATTTCTCTGGTATCTCTCACTTTCTCGTGTGAGGAGAGATAAGAGAGAGAGTGAGGAGAGGTTAGAGAAGTTTGAGCGCTTTTGAGCGAAGTCTGGCCAGGGCCTGACGACTTAAAAAAATGAAAGTGAAAACGTCCATAAGTCTTTTTTGTTTTTGAAGGAACGAGATAACGCCTGATACTTATAAGAAAGTTATAAGAATTGTATATTAGATGAAAGTGCTATCCTATGCTGTGCGAAAGAAAGCAAAAAGAAAGAACTGGGTAAACTCAAAAACTCTAACAGAAAGTCCATAATCCTGACACTAACCAATTCAAAAGTGAATAGAACATCATACCTGATTACGCAGAGCCTGGGAACTTTCGCCAACTTTGCCAACGACTGCTCCAGCGCATTTGATGCTCACACTACAACAAGATAACCACTTTTTCCTCGAGCCAAAGTTCAGGCAAATATAATGTAGAAATCACGAAAGAGCTTTGCTGAACATACACGCTTACCTACCCTCTCGCTGTCTTTCGAAGTTGCCGAATTCGCACAATAATTGTGATCAGTGTATTCGCGTCACATTTCTGGAAATATTATTTGGTGAAGTGAATGATCACTATCGCGCAATTTGAGAGAAATCGAATACTATACTGCGATGTATACGTGTAAAACGAGAGAGTAAGAGATACAGATCGGAAAACATGCAATGGAAAAGAAGAAATGGTCCTAGCCGTGCGTGAAAGGTTCTGATCGCTATTTTTCTCTCAGCAAACTAGGAAGACTCATCATGCCACCCAATTTTGAGATCTTGTGACTGCTTTGGGTCATAAATGTGCCTCAAAAACCAGAAAAAAAACACGAAAAATAAAGAAATCGATCAGAAAACGGCGGATGACGAGATGAATGTCATGAACCTGCCGGCATCTCGACGTGGTAGGGGCACGACGAGATGCCGGCAGGTTGCACTCCTCAATATGCACGCTATTTTCCTTTCTTTGCTGACATGAGGGCGAGATGCCGGCAGGTTGAGGGCGAGATCGCGGCAGAAATCTCGACAAAATACCTCACGAAGTTGCCGGCAGGTCAATGCTTTGGGTCCAAAATTTGAAGTTGTCGGGATTTTTCGGATTTTTTTCGATCTTCATCTGGTGCCCACCTCTAAGCTGGACCGTCAGACCTGGAGAGCGCCAAACTGATTGCTTTGGGGAAGCTAGAGAGGGCGCTGACAGTTTTCATGACCTGAGGGCGAGATTGCGGCGAGTTGAGGGCAAGACCTGCGGCAGGTAGAACATCGGCCTCTGCGAGTCAACAGCTAATTGAGATACTCTCCACTAAATTTTCGGAACTAGCTAACAACGAACAAAAATTCAGGAAGATGACGTAGATTCTGTAGTACTTTAGCAAAGACTCTCAATACGTCTTTTTGAGAAAGAAATCAGACACAGCAGCACTGTATAGCGAAACAAGCACGGCAGCTTGGTGTGTTGCACTAGTAAAGTCGAGAATTATCCCGTATTCATACGAATAGCGAGACGTAAGAATATGTAAACAAGCAAAGTGATAATGTGTACTATTGTGAAAATCAAAGACTCTAACACAAAAATCACCCGAAATACTTCAAAAAACCATCCCTTCAAAAATGCTCACATTTTCGAAAAACAAGTCATCCGACAGGGTTAGGAAAAGGCGCCGAAACTAGAAGTATCTTTATACAACTATTTCAAACAAGTTTCATCTCTTTTTCAAACAGAAACGACTGAAACATCAATGCCTGTCCATAAGAAATTCTCAAGATCTCCCTCGCACCTCAGCGATATCGCCCAGTCACCTGTGTGGCATGCACGACGCGACATCGCTGGGTTTTGCCAAAATCGCGGCGATTATCGCTGCAGAATATGCCCTAGCCAAAAAGGGTCTGCGATTCGTCGAGCCGGACGACTACCACAACCGCCGTAGCAGACACGAGGGCATGCATTTAGTGCGTAACAGTTGTCATTTCATAGAAATCGCAGCGCGACGGAATCGTGACCACTATGCCCTAGGCCAATAGCGGGAAACCGCGGTGCAGTCCCGAAGAGCGCGGATGCAATCTAGCACCTTTAATTAATGGTCCACTATTCTAAAGAAAAACTACCGTAAAGACAGGGTTAATGTTAGCGGATAACTTCAGAGTTTTGATAGCTATCTTTTCTCTAATTATTTACAACAACTCAACACAGCTCAACACAGTAAAGTGCGCTTGGAACGGAAACCATGCATACAGCTCGCAATCAAAAGCAACTATTACGTTGGATAGTACCTAACAATGGGCTAGCGATTAGAAGCATGAATTCCATTGTTTATTAGCACAATCGATCAGTGCAGTATCCGATTATCATAAAATGGAATCATCAGTTGTCTAAGTAAAGCACAATAGCAACACAATAATAAAGCGTTATGATTGACCCACAAAAGCCTAGAAACACCAATTTTGCGAAAAAACCGAAGAATATCGCATCGTGCATCCCGATCACTTCAAATTATTAAACAAACAATATTACTTGTAAGCAGGCTACGCCTCTTTAGTCAGGGTTGCTGAAGCATGCGGTAGATACCTGCAAAGCGAAAGACAGTAGCTATTGTCATGTGCATCGTTATATACTGTAATGCTTTCGGCGACTTTTTTCCAGTCTAATCGTTAGTAAAACTTCCAAGCTCTTCGCAATTAACGTAGCGTTCGTGGTTTATGTAAAACCCATATCCAGTGAGAAGACAATGTTGTGAAGCTGTATGAGAAAGATCCACTCGCATGCTCCTTCACTGTTACGTCCCCGTGCCATTTTCATGAAGCGCGTGCTTCCAAGACTAAAGTAAGGTGTAACGTAGGAACTCGTAGGTACTAGGTATTTGTCGTTTTTTTGTGTATTGTACGCTAAAAATCTCAACTAAGAGCCATACGGAGCGGCCAGATCCGCTTCCCTAGTCTCATCGATCTGATGTTGTCCTTGTTTTGTATTTGTTTATTATTTGTTTTGATTTACTCATTACTCTGCTAATTCTCTTGCCCGCCTAGGTAACTCGCACTAGTTGCCTCTGCTAAGTTTTGGCCATGCGCTAGAAGGTTCTTTTGCGTATTGGTGGTGTTTTGTTTTGTGATCTGATCTCATTGATCCAAGGCGAACGCTAGTCATAAGCCATCGCATTGCTCGTTTGTTCTCGTTGTTTTCCTTGTTACTTTGTTATTGTTGTTGTTTGCCTTTTGATAAAGACTTGTCTCTCCTACTCAGATAACGCCGGGGCAGGCGGCCATGCGAATTTTAAGCAAGCGGGCAGCGGAAAAATACTTCGCTGATTTCATGAGGTCCGCTTGCAGAAATTTGAAAGAATGTTGGCCAATTTTTAGAGGAATGCTTGGAGAAGTACCGTGGTTTTTATTAGTTACGGCGCAGTGGCCGCATTCTCCGGACTATCCGCAAGAATATGCAAAAATATTGAGGGCCGCACGGTCCTTTATGAAGGACCGCACAGCCCGTAGGTACCTTCCCTGAAAAAAGGTACCCCAAACTTGAATAATTAAACCATCGGTGACACCTCTGCCACATAGTCTCATCTTTACTCGGCGTATGCCCGAAACTGCGTTCAAAGTGTCCTAGCGCTTGCTGAAAGTTTAGCCAGCGCTCGCTGAAAGAAATTATCTGCCGAGCGCCTGCAGAAAATACTGTATTGTTGCCCGCTGGCAGAATATGCGACCGTAAAGGAAGTGCCGCCCGCTGCCGCTGCTGCCCGCTGGCCACGCCCCAAAGTTCTGCTGAACGCCTGCAGAAAAGCGCGAGTTTGCGGACCGCCTGCCCCCGGCGATTATCAGAATAGTGGTCTGGTCAGCACGAACCGCGGTAATAATTCGCACCTTTTTGGTTGGGTACCTAAACAATTCTTACTCTTTTCCGCCACAGTTGATCAGAAGATCTATGTACAGAGGCTTTACCTCTGTAAAGGGTCCCACTTGATAGATCATTAAGATAGTACTCCATAGGACTATGAGCCATTGAATGTAGTGAATGAAGAGTGTGCATCACCCATATGGATATAGATTTCCTCGGTTGACAACTGATTTATAAGTGGGAAAAACCTTTTTTCAAAACCAAGATCAGACACTAGAGTGGAACATCACCCAAGTTCTTGAACACCTCTGAAGAAAGAAAACGCTGTATACGTTGTATATGTGTAAAAAAACTGAACTGTCAAAGGACAACTCAAAGTCCTGTACAACAAATACATATCCCTTACATGGAAAAGACACTGTTGATAAAGAGAACATTCTAACAACGTGAAATTTGCAATCTCGTCAAATAAGTAACAATTAGGCAACAAAAGCATCTCTTGGAAACTCGTTTGCTAGTGCCTGCAATTCTGTAGCAAAAAGTAGGAATTCACGCGCGATTAAATCTCAGAGAAGGGAAATGAAAATTTAAAGGACAGTGAAAAAAGCGCGCACGGGTCTCGGCACGAAAAGACTGTACGGTCCCTGCCTTTGTTGGGGGGTACCATATAGAGTTAATAATAATAATTCAAGCGCGTCCTGGAACTATTCCCAAACTTTGAAGTCAGTATGAACGCAGCCATAACCTCTATTCTGCCCTCGACACATTGCTAAAAGAGCAACAATGTTTGAATGCTCCGAAAAAGACGCGCCCGACTTCTGTCACACTTCGCGCGAATCTGCCAAAGTGCTATCGTCAGCGACTTATCAAAAGTTTCCTACCAGCGCGGATTTGTGCACATGCGCATATGCGAGCCTGTCAAGTCTTGCTCATTGGAAGTGTGCTGACGGAAGAAAAGAACCATTGTAACAGGCCAAATGGCGCGATGACCAAAATTGCGTGCGGCATGACCAGGGTAAAGCGGGGGGTGTGGCACACGACCGTTGGATACGACCCCCCCCCCTTGGGCCGGACCCCGGCATGTCCTCTCCTCCCCCATTCTCTACCCCCCCCCCCCCGAACTCTCAACTTTGAGAACTCTTAAGATCTCACACCGGCGTTAGATTTAAAAAACAACGGCATAATGTACGAAAGTTATAAGTGGTCTAAACTGCTTGCATGGTTGGAAAAAAATCATCTTGCCAGCTGATGCGGTCTCATCTTATTAATTTGGTTAAAACAAAAGGAAGTTTCTTCGAGACCATGAGGATATCAAAAAAAGAGAAGAGAACAGAAGAGAAAGTAAATAACGCTATCAATGCCAAACATGATCGTTTTGCTAGTCTAGTCAAGTTACGCCACTAACCTGAGTAGTGTCGATCAAATCGAAATCCTTCTGTGTTATGCCCTCTTTCTCCAACAGCCTCTTCATGACTTCCGGATTCTTCTTAGTCGACGGCCGTTGTACCAGGAATTTGTAATGATGAAAGGAGACTAATCACAGGAACAAAAGACCGCATACCGATGTTATAAGTAGTGGAGGAGGCATAGCAGATGATCAGCGCATACAAGATGTAAGCATCGGCTTGCTTTAAAACCATCCAAACAATTTTTGATGTATTTTTGTGAATAAGGAAGAATTTTGCACGATGTAAACTATCTAAGTAACTATGATTAAGGTTGAGTTGCAGATAATGGCGCAAATATAAACCATCGAATTAGAGTTTGTGCAAATTCAGCGCGCGTACACTATTGTGTAATGGGTTGATCCGAAACGTTCGCACCATTTTTGCAAAATCGTAACTTCTTCCTTTCTGGATGGTTTGTTCGGAAACAGTCTAGTTAAAAAAGAGATATGTAGTTTCTAACGGCACCATGGGCTCTCGACTAACCCCTGATTGCAGAAATAAAAGCGGAAGAAGAAAATTAGTCGAGCTCTCGTTTTCAAGCAAGCTCGTTCCTGCCGAACAAGCGTCTCTGTAAAGTTGTGATTCTCGTGGAAAATATAACACCCGACTGATTGTGACTTTTGTGCACTTTCTGTACACTCGACTGCCACAAACTTTGCTCAGATATAAAAACGAGTTCATAAAACTTATGTTAATGATTGTTTCGGACTTTAGCGTACTATCTGCGTAAATGAGCCCTTCATAACAACAAGACGACTAAAAAGGCGCAATCTTTATGAGCCTCACGTATTACATGCTTCAAAAACATCAGAGTTTAGATACAACTGCATCGAGACCTGTTTCATTCAATACATTGCAGAGCGGCTGCGACTTAATTATTGCATTATCCAGTCAGATAGCAATAGGACCTAAAATGAGTGTGGCAGAAAAGAGAAAAGAGGTAGATCAGAAATGACACATCGGTAAAGATATAAACACAAATATCTGTTTGAATGCGATGCGTGAAGATGATTGTGTGAACGGAGATGCAAGAATGACAGAAGTCCTCGCTATTGAAGTGAGCAAATAAAAAAAAAGACAACAGTGAAAATGATTCGTAGCTAATGTACAACAGATCTAACTGAAAAGCAGACATAGCACCGGAATCTTCTGATTAGGATGTAAGCTGATAATCATATGAAGGAAAGCAATTTTGATAATCAGATGAAAGAAAGTAACATTGATGACTACATGAAAGAAGATAACAAGTCCAAAGATAGGAAATCCTACGAAGTCTTCCGCGTTTTCCTTGTCCTGTTGCGAGCTGCTGCTCTTTGCAGCAAAGAAATTATCTTGTCAGCATCCTTGTCTATTATCATTATCGTTGAATGGAACTCACCCTTACTAGTCGTATTCCTCTAAATTTCGGTATTCTCCCGCTTGGGTTGGCGTCTAATCACCTTGCGAGGGTGGTTCCCTCATATCTCAAATTGTTGTTGATGTCTTCGAGCTGGCTTTTAACACTCATCAGCTAAGTACATACGTCGTCGTCCGGTTCCTTCAAGAGTGCGATTACCTTCATTCTTATCGCGGCCATTTCCTGAAGTATGTTTTTCGACGAATTCAAAATGAATACTCAACTTACAGCAGTGATCGCTGGTACAAGCTCTTTGCATGTGTCCAAAGTCTCTGTTATGAGGGCGCTGTCCCGGACTTCCGTTCCCGAGATCGCCGGCGTGTCGGCTTCTTCATCCGACTCCGTGGCAGTAACAATCTCTCCTTCTACCATGTGCGAATACGTCACCAGTCCTGCAATCGGAAAAATGCATCTTTTCACCAAAACACAAACTGTCTGACCTTGAGGACTGTAAACGAGTGCCACGTGCACATGAATGCACGAAACGCCGGCTGTGTGGTCATCCAAGCAAGTGCATTTGAAACCGTATCCGCAGGCGTTGCAATTGTAGCAATGGTTGTTAAGCTGAAATATGTTCTTTGCTAAGTAGTACGTAAGAAAGTTTTTCTTACTTACAATTTCGTCACAATCGCATGGCATCTGCTCAACGCGGTATGTATGATTTCTTTCGCATACTAGCCAAGTTCCAGCGCTTTCTACATCGGATGTAACGTGTCCATCACAGTACATCTTAATTGCACTGGCATGCCTCTTGTGCTGCTCTGCAAGTCTGTGCCGTCTTTCGCGAACATTCCTGGCCATCTAAAATATATGCGTCGATGCGCTGCTGAGCTTGATCATAGTGGTTATTTTTATCCTTCTGTCCTCTTCCATACAAGGGACTAGATTTATTAGCAAGTCGATCAGCGAATCAATTCTTACACTCAATTTCGTTTGAATAAATTCAAGTTTCAATCTTCTGTGGAAGCGCTCAATTGCCATAGAGGTGTTTACAGTGGATGTTCTCCGTACGTATCCTGCCCATTCGCAAATTCGTGGGCTCCTGATACACCAAAAACTCCAAAAGAGTAGTTTGCGGTTGTGACCCTACCAGTTCCGCTCGAAGTACTGAACCATACTTTCTTCGCGATTTTGTCGCAATAGGCACAGTAGAGAAGCGTAGTTATTGAAGAAGACATCACGATCCGCATTCTTGCAAAGTTCTGACATTTTACCCATTACGGTAGATGTAAGACTCGGCTGAAAGCAAGTTGTTAGGGATGTCGGATTTCGTCGACATACCTTTTTGAGATTTTTGCAATATCTCTTTATGCTCTGAAGGACATGAAATGTGCACAGTAGTTTTTTCGCTGATGACTGAGGAACAACTTTTATGAATCTAATGTAAAATGAATTACTGTCATCCGACATGAAATATGCTGTATCAAACTGGGGAAGTAGATGCACAATTTCTTCCTAACTTCGTTCTTCGTCACAATTACTGTGTGGTAAACTTTCAAAAAAATATTGGTATTATGAGGTCCCCCCCCCCCACAAAGAGAAAAGTTATCGCCAGTAGCATTTGTTGCTGCTGCATAATGCCGTATCCCATCATCGTGATTGTGTTCGCCAATGCGTATTTCAAGCGATAAAATGTCGATACTATGTCTACAAGCTGGATCTAGATTGTGTTTCAATGCAATCCTTCTGAATTACACTTGCTGTTACCTCGTTACTTCACGTTATGATTACCAACCGCACGTCCCGCGATGTAGTAAATTACAACCGGCAATTCAAGTTGTTCGAATTTCGGCACCGCTCCCGGACTTGACTTACTTGCCTATACGTGAATCCATTTGAATCCATTTCTTAGGTAAGATAGAATTTGATTTTTGGCTTCGGCGTCCATTGTTAGCAGTGCAGCATCAGGCTCATGGCCGCAGTGCGTGCGGCAAAATTCTACTTTGATATTTCGTTCCGTTTCCGTTACCTATTCACAAAAGTGGATCCCACGGAAAAAGAAAGGGGGAGAAATTACCTTCATGTAAGCTGTGCAGTACGTGACCTTTTTTTTTTGAATTTGTGCACTTTTCCATATAAGATGGGCCAGGCTCGGCTCGACTGCATCGCATGTATGTAACGTGCCCGTCTTTCCCTTTCTCCTTCGAATGAACAGCACACCTCGTTGTCTCTTCTTCCTCTAGAGCATACTTCCAGTCCTGGAAATGAAAACGAAATGGATAATCAAACAGTGAAAGACACAGTACACAATAAAAAAAGAACGTGGCTATTTGAACATAAAAAGATGACAAATGCATCCATGAATAATGTATGCCTACCTGAAAAGCACATCTGCTGTTGAAGCTGATGGTTTCCACACTGAATGTCCGGTCGCCTGCAGCGTGTGCTTCGTTTGCGTATATTACAAGATCATGGTGGTCCTGAAAATGACTCTCGTAAAGAAAAATGAGCACGAGTAGAAAACTTACATTGATTGATATTCCACATAAGGGACACGAGATTTCTCTTCGGGATGGGTGTTCGATTTTACTATGTTCCAGTAGGTTTCTTTTTGTGGCAAATGTAGTTTCACAACTACCACACTGATAATTGTGCTCTCCAAGAATTTTTCTTCGATTTGCGGCTTGTAGATTGACGATCTCCTCTTTAGTGTAACTATTAAAACAGGTGTGCGGATAAATTTTTTCCTAGATTCCTGCTACACTCCGGACAGACTCCACTGTAATAGAATAACACTTTTGAAATTATTACCAAGATCACAAACAGACCTACTGAGACTTGCTCCGTTGCTTTTGCCTTCATTTTCTTTGCTTGAATCCGGCATTTGCAGCTAAACATTCAAATAAAGTCACGATAGATATCAAAAAATGTGCACTACCTTTTGAAGGTGCAAGAAGTGATCTACTAAGGCTAAGTGACAATTAAATGCGAACGAAAAACATCCAGTATCCCATCAAGTGCCGTTGCGGGTCACTATCAGCTTCAGAAAGCCAAGGAAGGCGAGACACGAACTAGAAACAAGGATTGCTATTTATATCACGATTGCATAATTCATCGAACATAAAATTAGCATGCAGCGAAAAACTAGTAGAAAAAACGAGCGAATACAAAAACAAAAATACTGTATAAAATGCTAATTTGAGCTTCACAACGTACGAATACCTGTACATTTATTTGAACAGCGTTGCAAAGAATGACTCAAATGTCTTAACAAACAACTACAGAAAACTAGTAATCGGAATGGAGGAGCTAACATCTGGCAGTAAAAGACGCGTTCTATCACAAACGTCCTAATATTATGAAATGCACTATATTGCAATCTATGAGTGAAAGGTGAATGAAATCCTTTATTTGGCGGCCGGCTTTGGTTGTGGCCCTTCATTTCATTCAACTATCTTGGATTTTGCCGTATATAGCTGCTTAAGAATGAAAGTTAGCATAATTCGGCTCACGTTCGGCATGATACGCCGCATTTGAAAAAAAGGCGTGAAATATGTAGCAAGTATTCAGCACGTACACTGACCACTATATATTTCACGCCTAAAATACTGTAAGGTGCCGTATGACGGCTGAAGAAGTAATGTTGTATAGCGCAGCAATGGTACAGGAGACGCAGCAGCGTAGAAGATTAGGCTAACGTTGAAGTTGAACTGTTCTGGAACCATCTGGCCTCCCATTCAGCTCACAAAAGAAAAAACAGCACATCTCTCGCAAATAACGTGCTCTTGATTTTAATTACATTTCAATTACTCCGATAACCATAAATTGTATTGCCATATGATGAACAGCGCGCGTCACCTCCGCTTTGCGGAGGTTCGCAGTGGCTCTGCCATCCGTATGCCTTTCTCGTGCTCGCATGATGATGATTTAGGGATCGTTCAGACCGCGCCTGTACCCGCCCAAATACGCCCGAATACGTCCAAATACGTCCAAATACGTCCGAATACGTCCAAACCCGCCCGAACGCCGAAACTGCCAATGCGCAGCAAATTGCATGCAAATTGGCATATTGGAGCACGCGTGGAATACTGCGTGCGTGGTGCATATATGGTAGCCACACGTAGCTCGACGTTACATACCGATTTTCATATGCGACTAGCGGGATTACAAAGATCAATCGACTTTGCGTCTGTTTTTATTTCTTCTCATGTTTGCTGACTCTAGGTGAGTTCTAACTTTCGTGCTGTGCGTTTTCTTTTCTTTTGAGCATGACGATCTTGTTGAGGTAATGCTTTGTTCTGTCTATGAGTCATTTCTTTCCATATTGATCTGGAATGAGTAGAATATGCACATTTTCTTTGTCTGTTTTCTAAGTACGTGCGTTGTCAGCTTTTTGTTTATACTTTACAGGGACAGTATGCCTAACGCGTAAAGATGACTAGAATACCTCTTCGGCCCCGGCCAGACTTCGCTCAAAAGCGCCCGAAAGCGCTCAAGTTTTTTGAATCTCTCTTCATTTCTATCTCTCCTCCAGAGAAAGACAGAAAAATTTGGGCGCTTTTGAGCAAAGACCGGGCCTTTTTATTGCACCAGATCAATATGGAAAGAAATGACTCATAGACAGAACAAAGCATTACCTCAACAAGATCGTCATGCTCAAAAGAAAAGAAAACGCACAGCACGAAAGTTAGAACTCACCTAGAGTCAGCAAACATGAGAAGAAATAAAAACAGACGCAAAGTCGATTGATCTTTGTAATCCCGCTAGTCGCATATGAAAATCGGTATGTAACGTCGAGCTACGTGTGGCCACCGTATATGCACCACGCACGCAGTATTCCACGCGTGCTCCAATATGCCAATTTGCATGCAATTTGCTGCGCATTGGCAGTTTCGGCGTTCGGGCGGGTTTGGGCGTATTCGGACGTATTTGGACGTATTCGGACGTATTTGGACGTATTTGGACGTATTTGGACGTATTCGGACGTATTTGGGCGTATTTGGACGTATTTGGACGTATTCGGGCGTATTTGGGCGGGTACAGGCGCGGTCTGAACGATCCCTTACACACCGCGCGATGTTGAACATCACAAATGGATTCTAAACAGCTGTTCATTTTTGAAGCATCTCCATGTAAGATCGGTAATTTTGAGGAAGAAAACTTTTTTGCAAAGGAACAAATGCGAATTTGTACGGACTATCGAATTTATTTTAGTCTGATAATCGTCGTAAGATAATAGTCACCTTGGGCTACATTTCCGTGCAAAAATGTTTCCAGTTTCTTGAATATATCCTTGCCGAGTCAGTTATCTACGCGATCACCATTTTTGGCGCTGTTTTCGCAGAAAAGCAAACTTTCTGTGCAGTTTTTGGGCAAGAATTCAAGGGCAAGATTTACTTGTCAGGCAAGTCATGGCTTTGCAAAAAGTCGCATTAGCGACCTAGTTTCGCGAGCCAAAAGCCGCGCGGACCCGTTTGACGCGCAAATTTTGAAGGACCCGCTTATTGAAACGGCTCTTGTACACAGTGGACCTACATGCTGGTATTTTATGTTATGCAAAACTGTAACTCGAAAGCTTGACTGCAGCTCCCTCCATGAATTTCGTGACAGAACATACATACACACACGCACAAAAGGACAGACGCTAAGCGCTATATTATAAGTCACCAGTGCGTCACCTCTGCTTCGCAGAGGCTCGCACTGGCTCTACTGTCTATGTGCCTTACTCATTCTCGTAAAATCTTGGCACTGGAACTCACCGTGCTATGCCGACTACCACGAATGAAATGTAAACAACCACTCATTTAGAAAGTCTTTTCACGTGAGATCGGTGAATTCGCATGGAAGAAATTTTCGCAGGAAGAAAAGGCAAGTTTGAATAGGTTTTTGAATTTGTCATGCTTTGATAATCGCCATAAAGGCAATAGTCACCGTGAGCTACATCTCTGTTCGAAAATCTTCTCAAATGCTTTTCTAGAACCTTGCCAAATTGACCATTTACACAACCAATTCGTTTTGGCGCCGTTTTCGTTATGTAGCAAACTTTCGACCACTTTTCTGGCTAAACTCCATCGCTTGCACATTTGCTTACCAAAGTCATCCACGATTCTGCAAAAGTGGTGATACGGACCGAATTTTGCGGTACAGAAGCCAGGTGGACCCGTTTGGCGCGCAATTTCTGAGGGATCCACTTAACGAATCTACTCGTGCTTTTGCATGTTGGACTTTCATGAAGGTAGCATGCGCTATACAAAATTTGGGCTTAGAACGCTGGCTGGAACACGCTCCACGAATTTCGTAACAGACACATACACAGACAAAGTCACGTCACGTAAACATCCTTAGCCCGTTATTATAAGTCATGATGGGTGCTGGAAGTTTCTCACCCGAGTCATATTCTCGCACCTAAATGATGTGCCTGCCAGGCACATTCGGAGTCGCTATAATTACGAGCTCCTCAGAAGACCAAGACATCGCAAGCCCCGCCCCTTATCCAGATTCGCTCCAGATGCTGAAACCGGGATTTCAAAGAAACTTTCAAAATCGAAGTTCGGGAGTGAATTTGCTTTGATCAAGACCAAAGTTCGGATTTAGAGATTTTCGAGGTTGCTCTTTTCAGCAGTGCAATTTGTTTGTTGCAAACTCAACATTCCGCACCGATAATGCTTAAAGGCAGCGTCCCACCAGCTGGGGGTACCTGGCTCTCGTAATGATGTAATAGTAGACCCCCTACCTAGGCGATGACTGAAGTTCGGAGCGAAAAAGGGGGTCTACCAAGCCTGAAATTTGCTCCGAAAGTGTGCCGAATCTTACGGTAGGCTCGGCCGAGTGCGAGGTGCATGCAGGGTAGAGGCGCAGAGTCGTTGCGGATCCCTGCGCTCATGATGTTTGCGCTATACGCACTTTGGCCCTGCAAATCGATATTGCCGTGTGGGCGGCGTTCGGCCCTATCGTAAGCTTCGGCCCACTTTCGGAGCAAATTTCAGGCTTGGTAGACCCCCTTTTTCGCTCCGAACTTCAGTCATCGCTTAGGTAGGGGGTCTACTATCACATCATTACGAGAGCCAGATATCCCCAGTCTAGTGGGACACTGTCTTTAACCAAAATCAAACGGATTTAGAAGTTTCCGAAATTTCTTAGCTCAAAAGGAGCTCTCAAAAAATGAATGAACTAATGAGGAAATAGTTGTAGCATAGATTTTATGAAATTTAATTCTGAATACGGTGGCTAAACCAAAATAGATTGAAGCAAATTTTACTTATCAGTTAAATTTAACTATAAACAAATTTACCAAAATCTATGCCATAAATATTTTTTTCAATGGTCCTGTTACAGTTTTGCGTTGGAAGGTTGACGTGAAAGCAATACAATTGAATTAAATATTGAAAGTGGCACACAATTAAATGCTGAACCTTTGCGATAAACTATTTTTCCTAAAGATGTTTTCTTCTTCCAGTTGCTTGTTGAGCGTTACATTTTTCGCGGTTTTCCATGTTTTCATTGAAAGCTTATAATACTAAAAATTTTCTGAAAAGTGGAGCAGATCTATTTTGGTTGTTTTCGAAATAATAAATAATTTTCCTCTGTTGTTTGACACCATTTCGAGCCTTCTAGGTCTGCTATAAAGCTTTCTGGCATTGAGCCAGCTTCGATGACCTCAGTGACCTTTGATACAACAAGTTTAAAGAAATACTCGGCTGGGTTATTATCAGCGCTGTACCTTGACATATAGGCTGTAACAACCAGCACGGTCCCGCGTGAATGAGACTTTTTTGCAGGAAAACAAACGCAAATTTTAATAGGTTTCAGACTTTTTCATGGTCTTCTTGACAATTGCAATAAGAACACAGTCACTGTGAGCTATACCTTTGTTCAAAAATCTCGTCAAATGCTCCGGTAGAACCTTGGCAATTTGACCATTTTAGCAAGCAATACTTTTTGGCACCGTTTTTGTAAAGTAATGGACTTTTGGTCACTTATTTGGGCCTAAGTTCATGGCTTGCACATTTGCTTGCCATAAATACCCACCACTCTGCAAAAAGTGGAATTACGGACCCAATTTTGTGGGCCAAATGCAAAGTGGATCCGTTTGACGCGCAATTTTCATGAGACCCACTCAACGAATCTGCTTGTGCTTTTGCACGTTGGACTTTCATGCCAGTAGCAAGTTTTTTTTTTTTTTTTTTTTTCTTGCATTCTCCCGTCACTCGGGGTCTGCCGCTCTCGTCAATCTTTTCCATTCTTCTCGGTTTAAGGCCTGCTCTTCTCTTATACCAAGCTCTCTCATATCTGCTTTGACTTTATCCAGCCATCTCATCTTAGGTCTTCCTCTTGGTCTCTTCCCTGGCACTTCCACTGACATGGCCAATCTCGTAATGTGGCTTTCTTCTCTTCGGCTCACATGTCCATACCACTGTAGACGTCTTTCTTGCATCTTCTTTGCATGCCAGTAGCAAGTGCTATGCAAAATTTGAGCCCAGGACGTTGGCTGAAACACGCTCAACGAATTTCGTGACAGACAGACATTCACACACACACACACACACACACACACACACACACACACACACACACACACACACACACACACACACACACACACACACACACACACACACACACACACACACACACACACACACACACACACACACACACACACACACACACACACACACACACACACACACACACACACACACACACACACACACACACACACACACACACACACACACACACACACACACACACACACACACACACACATGCGCACACATACACACACACATACACATGCGCGCACACACACACACACACACATACACATGCACACACATACACATGCACACACATACACATGCACACACATACACATGCACACACATACACACACATACACATGCACACACATACACATGCACACACATACACATGCACACACATACACACACATACACATGCACACACATACACATGCACACACATACACATGCACACACATACACATGCACACACATACACATGCACACACATACACATGCACACACATACACATGCACACACATACACATGCACACACATACACATGCACACACATACACATGCACACACATACACATGCACACACATACACATGCACACACATACACATGCACACACATACACATGCACACACATACACATGCACACACATACACATGCACACACATACACATGCACACACATACACATGCACACACATACACATGCACACACATACACATGCACACACATACACATGCACACACATACACATGCACACACATACACATGCACACACATACACATGCACACACATACACATGCACACACATACACATGCACACACATACACATGCACACACATACACATGCACACACATACACATGCACACACATACACATGCACACACATACACATGCACACACATACACATGCACACACATACACATGCACACACAGAGGTAAACACTCTTAGCGCGTTATTATCGTAGGATGATGCTTGAGATGGACCTCTCCTATGTAACTGAAAAGCTGTAAAGGCATGCAATGTACTCCGGAATAACTTCTCATAAGAAAGCGTCTTCGCTCACCCCCCCCGCTCTTCCTACAGAGCATAATGTTTGTTTGTCCGAGTATCAGGTTCAAACTAGGTTGCTATCGACGATTCTCGGGTAAGCAGTCCTCAATCATTTGTGAAATGCCACATCAACCGGTCATGTTTTGGTGGACAGTATTCTTGTTCATCCAACTGGTGTCAGTTTGCTCTACTGAAGATTACGTCCCATGGGAAACCGTCAAAACACTTCCTACAGGCGTGAGTTATTATCACCAAACAGTAAACCTTCAGAAGCCGAATAAAGAGCCATGATTTTGGTGTAATACAAAGTAGTACCCTTAAATCATTTCGTTATAGAAGCCTGCAGGATCGCGAGAGTCGGACGTGCGTACGGCCATTGCGCCGTACACGTCCGATGTCACTAAGGCAGGTGCCAGACTTAGCCGCTTCAGCCGCTTTGTTCGGTTCATAGGTCAAATCACTACACTGTCCAACAGCAAAGGTGGTGAACCGAATGAACCTGTTCAACAGGATAAGTCTGGCCTACCTGAGTCGTCGGACGCACATCTGACGTGCGCGGCGCAATGGCCGTACGCACGTCCGACTCTCGCGATCCTGCAGGCCTTATACATAATTTGCCATGTATAGGCACCACCCATTCTTGCGCTCGAGGTATCTACGTTATTCATGAACCACCGCGGTAGGGTAATGACATAATTGCTCACAATCCAGATCGCACTCTGAATTCGGCCCTTTCCGCTCAATGTGCTGTGTGTCCCGATCGGACACTTCAATCTGGATGCGATCATCATCATGGGCCTAGTCTGACATGAAGGGGGCTGTGCGCTCATTTATCTTTGAAACATCAATGGTTTCAATAAAAAAGCTGGTTGTCGACATTTTTGCGCCCTCAAAAGTGCACCCAAAACTGGCAACGGACAGACGGAAAAGTCAGAAATCGGGACATTATTTTGAAAATGGTCTCAAAGGATAGATAGAAAAGAAAGGAAATGTTAATCTCACAATGCCAAGGCCTTTAAAGTCATTTTGAGCGAACATTGCTTTAAGGGCAAAAAATGTGGTTACGAACGCGAGGGAGAGAAGCTTCTCTCAACTTTATGGTCTAAAGGACAATTTATGCTTCACTGCTATGTGGACAACAGCGAAATTCGATAGGAAATCTTTAGCCTTGCTAACATGCCTTGACCTACTCAGACAAAATTCGGACGAGCGCACTGCTTCTACCGGGCAGCGATCATGCCTCTCGCCTTCCGTCCTCTGAAGGTATGCCGCTTGCCCGCTAGAGATAATAAAGCGGGCGGGCGGAATACCTTGAGCGGGCGACTAAGCATGCCTCCTATCGTCTACCTGGCTATATCACCCGCTATTTACAGCACCCTACGGGTCTACAGCCTGCTGCCACCGCGTCAATGATGCACTTGTTTTGCTAAAAACACACATTCTCATTTTATACTTATTTTGGTAATCAATTTATTTATAAAATCGTATAAGCAACAATACATGCACTCACACTACAAGGAGTACAACACAGATTACGATGATATAGGCCCGTAGTAAACCCCCATCATAGCATCTCTCTTGAGGCGGACGGGAGCTGATCTCATCGCGCCTCAGCACATTGCCAGGGGATCGATTGATTTGGAGCAGATCACTTATTGGACGTTCGCGTTCTCAAAGGCGGAACATTTCTGCCATTTGTACATTAGTAGTCAAATGGATAAGACTGATGCGTTTCAAGCGGCAGAGCCGTGGTTCGAATGCGTCTAGCGGCAACATTTTTGCTACTTGGCCTAGCGACCTTTGATGCGGCCGTTACCGAAAAATCGATGATAACCGCTATCAAAGATTTCACCTAGCAAACAATGATATAAAACAAATACACAATAATTTGCCACTTATACGAAGAAAAACTACACTTAGCAAAAAATGAATAAAAAGATAAATTCATTTTCAAGTTGTCTGGAGCGGTTCTTTGACAAAAACAAGCAACAACTGCAAGAAAAATTCAAAGAAATCTTTTTTTCCGATTTCGTCGCGAAATCAGCTGTTCATCGATCCTCACTCACTTAGGCGGCCGAAATTGTGCAGTTTTGGGAGTTTTGCACCGCAAAAGAACGTGAGCTGCGGTGTTTCGTGAGTTACTCGGGAGCAACTTACGGAGGTTTTCTCTGTGCTCTTTAGCACAGTATTTACCTTATGTCGTCGCCCGGCTCATCTCCGATGACTCGGTCGGGAGCTGATCTCCCTACCGGGCTTCATCTGAAGCTCACTTGTAGGGTGACCTTGCATACTTACACCACGGAAAAGTGGGCAGTCCTCATCTCACCCGACAAAGCCTCATATGCGGGCCTCGGGGGAGATCATCTCCCGTGACCGAGCTTTACTACGGGCCATATATTATTCACTACGTAAGATACAGGTAAGAATTATCCGTGGCAGTTAATGCCAATCTAGTTCACTTTCGGAAGAGAACCATAGGCCGGAGCAGAAATTTTCTGGAAGAAAACTGACTAGTATACACATAAAATTTCTGAAATTCTATGAAGAGCGAACCATGAAGAAAGTGTCGAGGAATCAGCTTGGTCGATTTTCAGTCGGTCCAGGAGTGTGGCGATCTATGCGAATTCACATCAAGTATTTTCTGGAGGGGTGGAAGACTATATGTCGCCGAATTTGGAAGAGTCTCGCGCGGATTCCCTGCAGGAACGCATGTTCGCGCATTTACAAGGGTGCGTATTTGTCGCAAATGACCGTGGGACCGCCTTTTTTCGGCGACATATAGTCCTCTACCTCTTCTGGAGCATCCCTTTCATTTGCTACGTATCCTATTTCGGACTTCGTTCACCTCGTAATTGTTTCACTTGTCAACTACGTTGTAGGAACAGCACAATTTTTTTCATTGAACATTTTCCTGAAGATAGACTCTTTGAAATTGATGGCACGAGTCAATCCCTGAAGATTTACAGCTCACCTTTTCGCATCAGAAAGTACTTCCATCTCCTATTTCTAATGTTACGTTCATGTAATTTCATGTGATTTATCGTGAGTCTCACAATGGCTATTTCATAATCACCTCAGCAGCACATGATGGCCACCAAGCCATGGCTCTCGCGGTGTACCCACAACAATCCTACACTTTCGATATTCGCTTAGCAAGCACATGAAAATACATAATCTTTAGCAAAACAGTTCTCATTGGATCAGAAGAAGTTTGTTCATATCAAAAAAAAAGTTTATGGCTTACTAAACACTCAGTAATGGTCACAATCAGGGTCAAGCTTGAGTTTGGCATGCCACACCTGGGGAATCGTAATAAGGGGTCAGAGATGGGGGAGGAGGGGTCGTTATTGAGGTTATACGGATCTTAGCGATAACATGATATTCATTAACAATATCATATAGGCATTGTGCAAAATACTAGCACACGGGGTTTGTACCAAGCGAAGCTCGAGGTTATAACGCTGAGTTAACTATGAGATATACCTGAGCCAACGCACGCCTTTTTGACCCCCTCAACAGGTGCTTGAATACACCAAATCTGGAAAGCGATGATATGACAGAAAGTTCCTTAAAGTTCACCACTAGTAGGGTAACATTGACCAAATCTTTCTGCGCAAGAAACAGGACCGCCTAACGCGCAAGTGAGCTCTGCAATACTCTTAAGTTTGCTGCGCGTTCTGGTCTATCGTAAAACTCAGAGTTAATCCTGAGTTTGGTTAAAGGAAAAGAAATAGTGCACAAAAAATTTCAAAAAAAATGAATGAAAAAAATGAATTTCAATCAGTTTTTGAAAAATATCCGAACGAACGAATATTATTCGACTTGTGATTTTCAGATTATTCGAATTCGAATATGCGAATAATGCTACATTTCAAAATTCGAATGAACAAATATTCGAATAAATGGTGTTGGTCAAACATTCGACTATTCGAATAGTCGAATAATTATGCAAGGTCGAATATTCGACTATTCGAGTAATCGAATAATTACATATGATCGAATATTCGACTATTCGAATAATTCGAAGAATCTAGCACCTCAAACAATGCTGATTTTTTCTTTGTTGAGCCAAAGGCTTGCTCTACATAACAATTATCAGCGCTCTTTAAAAACATCAGGATGAATATTTTTGAAATTCAGTAAAGATTTGGCGTTACTTCTGAGCGGCTCAAAAGCCGTGGCGATAACATTGCGAAGCCAGAGTAGGTCAGAAAGCAAATATAGCTGTAAGAAAGAAGATAAAAATTTGTATCAAATCGTACCTAAGTTGCCTTGAATTGTTGTTCTGTGAGTTCTAGTGAGCGATGAAAAAGGGTGTGCTCATCTAATTCCAGAAACAGAAAATATCTGTATATTAGAAATATCTATATATTAATTGATAATCCAATACTTGTCGGGAATTATCAATCACTGAGTTCCACAGTTTCTGCTGTAGGATTGAATTCTCACAAAGTTGTTTTAGTTGTATTTTTGGGGCTTGTACTTTTGTTGTAAGGAATCTTTCATATCTTTTACTCAGGTTCAAAATAATTATCGTTCAACCTACACGCCTACTCGAAGTATTGTTCCTCTACGAACTTTGCAACATTCTAACATAGTTTCCTACGCCTTCTGACTATAAGGGTAGCCGATTTCTAGTCACTGATATACAGGCTGCCGCCACAAGTCAAGCGGCTCAGGTCCTCACGATCGCCTTGCTCTGACTTTGCGCTGTAACGTATCTTTCAGATATTTTGACATGCAAGCGGTGATTAGACTGGCAAGGCAAGTGGAGATCGCGGGATGAAGGAATGAGTGTTGCCAATACGTGCTACCTCAAAGGACTGCTGGTCTTTCACATGCTTATGCAAACCGTTTGAGGACCAGTGGTCCACTAAAATGGCACCTAGTAAAAGCTTTGCTTCTTCGCCCAATTTAGAGCTTGGAGATATTTCCGCATGATATCGCATCTCAACTTCTCAAACTCGATTTCCAGAATATAGTTCAGCACTCCAAATGATATGCATAAGACGTCATCACTATGCTCTGGCATGACTCGCGACTCATGCCTCAATGAGGGAAGCTTGCTAGCCTTATTGTCATATGATAATTCATTTGTGTGATTGACCGATCGGGGACATGCTGCACTCAGTGTAGAACAGCTGGTGTTTTCTTTTGACATCGAATGCTCGAATAAATGTTCTTAATATTCGAATATTCGAATGACTGTCTTTCAAGATGGCTCGATTATTCGCATA